TTCACTAATATATTGGATGTTGTGAAAACCCATTCATGTCTTAGCCTGATGCAGGATGATGACAGGGTCTGGTGTTTCATTTGCATTCATACTGCAGATTGTGAAGTAAATTTCACACTGCTCTAGAGTTGTAGGCTCATTGGGAGCCTTTGGAACTCATTGCCACGATAGCTAAAATGCTGAGCAGGAGGAAAACAAGAATTAGATGTTCCCGTGGATAATAGGAATATCCAGAGTTAGAGCAGTACATTTCTCAAAACAAATGAGATGTGACAAAGACAGACCCCATCATACTCCAGGTCATGAGCTCATGGAAGATCAGGTGGGTGCAGGTTATTTCAGTGCAGCAGGGTTTTCTGCATTTTTTTTCTGAGCAGTTGGTGCTGGTCAGTGCTAGGATCCCAGGATAGATGGCTCCTGGCCTGATCCAGGTTGGTGGTTCCTGTATGACTAAGAAGCAAAGCTGGCATTTAATTATCAGCATTTACTGTCTATTTGCAACTGACTCATTTTTTCTCTCTTCTTGCCAGGTGTCTTCTTTAGAAAGGTAAGGGGGCATGTGAGTGGGTATGGGGGAAACACATGGGCTTTTAGAGCACAGCCCATTGCTTGGTCACATGGCCTTAACTCCTCATTTCCAACTGCCCCTAATTCAGAATACCCTTCCAAAGCCAGAAGAATAGTGATAGAGATGTAGCCGTGTTAGTCTGGTGTAGCTGAAACAAAATACAGGACTATGTAGCACTTTAAAGACTAACAAGATGGTTTATTAGATGATGAGCTTTCGTGGGCCAGACCCACTTCCTCAGATCAAATAATGGAAGAAAATAGTCACAACCATATATACCAAAGGATACAAGAAAATTCTCCCATCACCCTAGCTACCATCTCTTGAGAGAGGTGTAATACCTACATCAAAAGTAAAGCCCCTCCCATCAGCAAACAGTGTCTTCACAACAGCCTTTTAAGTGTACACAACCCCTCAAGTGACATTAAAAAGGAGCACAGTCACTCCAGGACATACAAGAGGCTGCTGTAATGAAGTCTAATCTGACTTCAGTAGCTATTTGCAATCAAATGTGTCTGCTAGTTAATAATTTGCACAACTGCAAACATTAGAAACAAGTTATACATTGAAGTGAATAATTTTCAATAGCTGGTATCAATCAGATTTTTCTTTCATATATTGGAAGCCTTTCTAAAGCTATAGTTCAGCCCTGCATAGAGATTAAAATTACCAAACAAAAAAATTAATGCAATCTAAACAATGAATGGTTCTTTCCTTCCCTACAAGAGCTTTGAGCAAAGATTATTTTCCACCCCTCTAACTGCCAACACAGAACTACAGACTGCCAACTTTTCAACTCCACTTTTCCATGTCACTGAAGCCACAGGCAAGAGCACCATAGGTGTTGGTGCAGCTGGTATTCAGTATTGACTCACCAAGCAAGGCAAGGGGTGCAGGGCAAAACTCACCAATTAAGAATCTGAACAGCAGCAGCAAAGCGGGGTTTAAAAAGGTTTAATTTTTCCAGAGACTAATGCTCTCAAATCAGATAAGTCCTTCAAAAAGAGCTAATCCATAATTTGTTTGCTAGTTACAAATGTTAACAGTTTTTAGGCTCAAATCTTTGTTCTCTCTACCTGGGTTCCTGTTTTAATTTGCAGAGCAGGGAAGAGATGACATTTCTATACAGTTTTTTTTCCCCACACTGAGATTTTAAGATTGTGCCATAAAAGACTCGCTTTGCAAGAATATTCACTGTAAGTAACGAAAACCTAATGATAAACATGTTCCCATCAGAGTATGAAACATCATACTGAAAGCCTCCACACTGCAGACTGAAACTAGTAAATGAAGAAATGCACCATGACACAGAAAGGATGACCCAAGGAAAGTAGAAAAAACACAAATGAAACTTGACTAAGTAATCAAACGAAAGAATACTAGGAAATATTTGAGAACTGTATACACAGTTATTTCAAGTTTCACAGGGATTTAAGAGTTAGAATATCAATCACTGACATTGTACAATCCCATTCCGGTGATGCATATTATTTTTAACATGGTTCTGACTGAGATTGTGCATGACCTGTCCTAGAGAATGATGAAGCCCAAAAATATATAAGTGAGTCTCTTATTAAGACAGACAGGACAAGAGGAAACAAAGGTGTGGGGTAAAGTGAATTGCCTCATATCACAGAACTAGCCAATTAGCCAGTCATAAGACAGGATTTTCAGGTCTCTCCTCCACATTGGTCTTCTCTCCTGAGCCTTCGGTCTCTCACTCCGTCTGTCTCTCTCTCTCTCCTCCTCCTCCTGCTTCCTCCCTCCCCCCCCCCCCAGCCCCCCCCCCCCCCCCCCCCCCCCCCTTTCCCTTTCTGGTTTTCTTTAGCTTTTGGTTTCTCTCTTACACTTTCTGCATCATTGTTTTTCTTTGAGTGATGTGGGGAGAATGGCTGGGGGGCCC